TCTGCATTTGCACGGGGCTAACCTTTCCAGTATACCAGAAGCGAAGTGGCAAGCGATGAATGTTACCACACCTGCGTGTCATTTTACACAACAACATTGATTCTGAGAAGTTGTGCACATATCAAGTTTTTTAAGTTGAATATTTTAAATGAAATGTGAGTATGTAATATACTCTTTTTCAATAATCCCCAAATTTATCTTTCAAAATTATAACCCTATAATGCTTGTTCTCTCTGCTCTTCACATTGCTATAACAACACCACCACCAATAATAATAATAATAATAATAAGTGTTTATGTAGTGCTTTGAGGTTTGTAAAGCACTTTACGTACATCATCTCATTTGAACTGCACAACAATCCCAGGGAGGTAGGCGCTTATAATTCCCATTATTTTACAGATCAGGAGAGTGAGGCTGAAGAGATGAAGTGACTTGTCCAGAGTCACATAGCTAGTGTCTGAGGCAAAATTAGAACTCGGGTCCTCCTGACTTGAAGTCAAATACTCTATCCATTGCACCACTAAGCTGCCACAATATTGAACAAACAAAACAAAACAAAAAAAACAAAAGCAAACTATGTATAGAAGGTACAAAAAAAAAGGTCAACTTCCCTAAAATGTGAAAAGAATGATAATTCTTTTCAGAAAGCTGAAGTTTGTCCAGAGAAAAGACACTGAATATCTGGTATTAGATTGAGAACTCAATTCCATAAATATAACCCAAGTGATTTCAAAGAGATCCCTCCAGGGGCAGCTAGGTGGTGCAGTGGATAGAGCACTGGCCTTGGATTCAGGAGGACCTGAGTTCAAATCCGACCTCAGACACATAACACTTACTAGCTGTGTGAGCCTGGGCAAGTCACTTAACCCCATTGCCTAGCCAAAAAAACCCCAACAAAACATAAAACAAAGAGATCCCTCTGAAACAATCTAAAATCCATTTCTTTTCTTATATTAAACTAATTTTCCTTTCAAAATCTGGCTCTCCTGTCACATATTCTTTATTTCAATATGTTTGCTTCCCCACTTCTCTTCTGAAATTCTTCATCAGAAAGTCTTTTCTTTTTGCTTTTTTGGTGAGGCAGTTGGGGTTAAGTGATTTGCCCGGGGTCACACAGCTAGTAAGTGTCATGTGTCTGAGACTGTATTTGAACTCATATCCTCCTGACTCCAAGGCCAGAGCTCTATCCACTGTGCCACCTAGCTGGCCCCCCCTTTTTTTTTAAGGCAATTGGAGTTAAGTGACTTGCCCAGGGTCACACAGCTAGTAAATGTTAAGTGTTTGGTGTGAGGCCACATTTGAACTCAGGTCCTCCTGACTTCAGGGCCGGTGCTCTATCCACTGTGCCACCTAGCTGCCCCTTCATCAGAAAGTCTTGGGGGTCCTTTATACCCTTTGACTGCTTGTAATAGACTGGTGTCTGGGGCCTGGGGTTTCACTGCTGTTCTACTAAAGGGGCAGTACCTTGCCTTTGCCCCCAGATTGCCCCTTTACAATTTCCTCAAAGCAGAAAAAAAGACAAATACTAACTAGCACAGGCAGATAACTGACAAGGCAATATAACTCTGATTACTTCCCCATTTATCCTGAAGGATTATCTCCTTTGCCAAAAAAATGTTGGGTGATTATAGGACATGGCAAGACGTTGGGGAAATGGAGCTCTGAGCTCCATGAGATGAATCAGTCAGTGGTAGCTATACCACCAGATCATCTGAAAGCGTTTTAACTTCCTTGTGCCTCTGATGCTTCATCTATAAAACTGGAAATCACAGTCCCTTTGTGACTATCAGAAGCAGGCCTTGGGTACCAGCATATGTACTACCTATGGGAGAAAGGGAGGAATCATGGAATCTGCTCTCTAAAAGTTAGTGTCAAAAGTAGTGTCAAAACTGGATTCCATATTCACTCTGGTTTAAAGAGAAAGACTAAAAGAGCAATTTCTGCCCTTTGGGATCTGGTTTTTGAAGCCTTAAGACTCTCCTCATTTCTATTAGATCCTTTTTTCCAATCCTCACCACATCCCTATCCTACTTTTACCCCCACACTTGTCCCATACCATAGTATTTTCTTTCAAACAGCTAATTCTCAATTCCCTGTTCTAAAGACAACAAAAAACATAGCGGAGGGACTGATAGCCAGTCTGGTGACCAGCATGCCCAGGACAAGAGCAAGCCCTAGGAGAGTAATGATGGATGCAGGGAGGGCTGAACTGGAAGAGAGAGGGATAGAATGGTTATCATGACTCAGCAGCTTAGCTTGCTCTCCTCCAGGCATTCGCCTTTGCCAAGTCTTTAGCAGTTGGGTGGTGTTATTATTTCCTTTCGGCTAACCCAAATACTTTGTTCTTGGGCTTGAGGGAGAGGGAGATGTGTGCATTGGTATGGAACTGTGTTGATATGAATGCTGGGGACAGTGACACTGATGCCTATTGTCCTGGATGGCTACTAGCAGACATGATGTCAGGCACACCATGGTTCCCATTCTCATCAGTGCACCAGAGCATATTCATCAGATCATTGCTTTTGTTCAGCTCCCAGAGGATTATCATAGATGAAGATAATAGATTCCTAGGCCCAGAACTGAAAGGAACTTAAGAGGCCTTCTAGATGAGGACACTGAAGTGGACACGGATGAAGTGACTTGCCTGAAGCTACAGAGGCATAAGTAGAAAAACAGGTATTTGAACCAAGGTCTTCAGATTTCAAATCCAGTGCACTTTCTGCCTCATAGGCCAGGAGTTGAGAGCCACCAAAATTTTGATTTCTGGGTTCTTTCCTCTTCTGGCTGCTAAATGAAAGTTGTGGTCTAAGATGGGCATATATCTGATCTTAATATACTCATGTTTTCTCTCACCAAGCTAATTAAATACTTTATGACCTTCATAGAGGTGATCTGATAAAGAGATAAGGAGAAATGGGAACTGCTAGGTAGGTGAAGGTATAAGCCCAGAGATCACATACACACACACACACACATCCTCTAAACTGAAGTCAAAACCTCGTCCAGCTTAATGTAGGGAGCCCTGCCAGTGGATGACAACTGAGTGCCCTGAGATTCTTGACTCACGGGAACAGGGAGATTGACCAATACCCACAGTGTCCTGCTGGTTGCAAGGATAACACCCACAGCTGCAGAACCAGGTTTGGGAGCTCAATGTGGATCTTTGGTCAGTCTAAGCAAGCTCAGCAGGAATTTCACTCTAATAAATGAAGATCTCTCCAGAAGATGCTGCAATCCGAGTGCTACAATTTAGGAGAGTTAAGAAATAATGACAATTGGGCATACCATACAGTATTCACACAGGACTGGTGTGATAGAACCCAGAATAATAGGCCAGAACTTCAATTACAGAGCAACTGAAATTATAGGGCAGATTCAATTAATGATAATGGGTCAGATTACTGTCCTTAAGGGAAATCCCCTGAGCAAAAGAATAGGGTTATGTTTACATGGGGGAAAGCATGCCGTGAGGATTTTGGTTTCTCTTTCCTAAAAGATTTTTGCTGACCTCTTTCAGTGATTATCAGAGACTCCCTCCCTCCTCTGGGACACAGGCAGGACCAAGCATAAAGGCTGCTGTGTTCTTTTTCAGCTAAGTTATAACTCCGTGCCTTTTGTGAAGACGAGAGTTATCCTTAATTAAATCAGCTCTATGTAATTGCACTAGCTCCCTAATTGATATGGCACTGGGATGTAGGGTAACTGCCATTTTAAACTCATTTTAACTCCTAACAAAATCCTTCCTTTAATATTGTGGTTTCTGTTTGAAGATATATTTGCTTTATTGCCATAAAAGAAAAAGTAGCAAAGGGGTAAAGAAGTGGTTTTTTTTCTCCTCAGTTTTCTAATATTTTTTCTCATGTGTTTCAATTATAGTACTTGGTAAGGGTCTTTTTTGGGGGCCTAGGAGATGATGGCAGAGGTGTGAATATTATAGCTTACTATCTAGCAGATGCAAGACAATTGTGTGCATATATGTGAAGGGGAGGTGCAGAGTTGGGGAGCATGGAAAGCCTGGGAGACCAAGAATGTGGTTTGGTTGCAGGGCAAATTAGGATTCCCATAGGAAATTCTTCAAACAGTGAATCCATCAGTGACAGACATGTTTATAGGTGGAGGTTAGGGAGGGAGAAGGGAAAAGAAAGCACAAGGAATGAATGTCTCCATCGAGCTATAATCCTCCCTGAGTATCATTTCAGCTCTGGTAAACACACTTGGAGTCCAAAAGACTTGAGGTCCATCCTATCACAAGAGACTTACCAGTGCTTAACCTCTCTGTGCTTCAGTTTTCTGAGCTATAAAATATAGGGATTAGACTTACTGGTATCTAAGATCCCTTCTGGCAACAAAGGACTATAGCTGGACAGAGATATGCATTCCTTAACTTTTCCCTTCCCTTCTCCTTCTCTAACCTCAACCTATAATCATGTCTGTTCCTGCTGGACAATAAATTCATAAATGAGGAAACTAAGGCTCAGAAAGGGTAAGTGATTTGCCCGAGGTCAGACAGTTAGTGTCTGAGGCAAGATTTGAACTCAGGTCTTTCTAGCTCCCATCTAGCACTACCTGTTCCACTGTACCTACTATTTCTATAAGTTTTTAAAAGCCTAGAATCAAATTTACACTTGATATAATTAGCAAAGAACCATCATCTTCTATACAATATGTTTTCAAGCTGTTTTCTCTAATGCAGTGAGTTCTGATTTGGAGAATTCTTGGCATAAAATAGTTCTCCCTGCAGGCCAGATTACCTACTCATACCTAGCTCTTGCAACTGTGGAAATTTTTTCTTGGAACTTTACTTGTAAGTATTTTTCATTTACTGTAATATACTATTAGAGTTGAAAGGGATCTTTGGAAGTCCAACTCCCTCATTTTGACTGAGCTAGGTCTGGAACCCAGGTGGTCTCTTATCTACTAGCCCCACACCACACCATAACATTTTCATAGTCAAGTGGCTGCAGCAGAATTCATGTTTCACTTTTTTTTTTTAGCGGGGATGGCACATTCTCTCATGCCTCAACAGTAATCAAAGAACAATGCAGCCTGATTGTCTGCTCATCACCATGAATGTGGAGCCAGCCATCAGAAGGGAGAGCTTTCTAGTTGCCTTGGTCTGGAGAGGAGAGCTGTCCAAATCTGTGTCCCAGAAGCCACCTTCTGAGGTCAGTCTGATGAGTTACTATCCAATAACAGATCCCCTCTTCACATACTTCTCGAAGGACATTATTATACGCTCCAGGCTATAGGAGTCTCCCAGAACAGGATGATGACTCAGCAGTGTTTACGTGACGTTCTACAGGCACCATGTTTCAGTTATCTTTGCAACTTTCCTGGCACTTACTCAGCACGGTGCATCACGAATGCCAGTACCTCATGAGGATTTTCTTGAATAAATGAATGAATATTGGGAAATATGCTATGAGGCATTAGATTTAAAATGGCCCATTGACTAGAAGCCCTACATGTTCAGAAACAAACTGTTCCCAGCCTGTGCTGCTGCTTATTGTTAGCTCCAAGCAATTCTGGGCACCAGTGAAAGGCTGCCAGTTAAGACTTGCTGATTACCTTTTCTATAATCCATATCCTTTCCTCTGCCCCACTCTGCTAAAGGGTGGCTCTTCATCTAATTTGCTTTTGTGTTCACTACATGAAATCCTTGTAGCATCCAGCTCTGCCCTGGGCGTTCTCAGCAAAGACCTGTTCTGGTTACAGTATCTTGACCTCCATAGCAGAAGGGTGATATTGGGGAGGGCCAATGTGTTTTTCCCATTTGATAGTTTGGAAAAAAGGTTTCTGGAAGCTGTCTCCTATGCTTGGACTTCTCTCTTTCCTTACCCCTTCTTCTTGGAGTCACAGTTACATAGATTTAGAACTACAAGTAATCTCAGAGGTCACTAGTCCAAATTCCTCATTTTACAAATGAGGAAACTGAGGCCCAGAAGAAAGTGGCTTGCCTGAGGTTCCACAGGTAATAAGAGACAGAACTAAGACTTGAACCCAGGTCCTCTGGCTACATACTGAGGGCTCTGTTCCACTGTAACATCCTACCTAGCTTTAGAGGCATCTAGGTGGTACAGTGGATAGAGCGCTGGACCTGGAGTGAGGAAGAGCTATGTTCACATCCAGCCTCAGCCCCTGGGCAAGTCAAATTAACCTCTGTTTGCCTCAGTTTCCTCATCTGTTAAATGGGGATAATAGCTCCTACCTCCCAGGGTTGTTGTGAGGATCAAACAAGATATTTGTAAAGCATTTTGCAAAACTTAAAGTTCTATATAAATGATAGCTATTATCATTACTATCATTACTACAGTTCCATTCAATGCTCACCTCAGGAACTACCTCCTACACCCTCAGAATAACTTTGTATGTACTTTTCTGAGTACATATTGCATCCCACTCCTAGCAGGATACTAAGCTCCTTGAAGTCAGGGGCTCCTTTGTCTTCAAATCCCAAGTGTCTAAAACAAGCCCTTGCCATTAATCAAAAATGATTTATTAAACACTTACTGTGTGCCAAGACCTAGAAGTGCCTGGCATATAGTAAATGCTTACTAAACGTTTGTTAAATTGAACTGAATTGTCAATATGGTCTGAGGGAGGCTCTGCTTCAGGGAGTACCATAACAAGTCTTTAAGCAGCAATCACGCGTGTGCGCACACACACACACACACACACACACACACACCCCTACAAAGAGTACCTAACATGTAAATTCATCTATTCCAGGGATGGAGAACCTGGGGCCTCAAGGCCACATGCAGCCTTCTAGGACCTAAAGTGCAGCCTTTTGACTGAGTCCAAATTTTATAGAACAAATCCTTTTATTAAAGGGATTTGTTCTGTGAAGTTTGGATTCAGTCAAAGGGCTGCACCTAAGGACCTAGAGGGCCACATGTGGTTTCAAGGCTGCAGATTCCCCACCCCTGCCTCTATTCTCTATGTAACAATCTGACCCAGCACATAATGGTGTTACTTACAAGTCAGATATTTTATTAATCATTACAGTATAACTTAGAAACAAGCAGAGGGGAAAAACGAGAACTCATACCCCCTCTGCTAAACTATTTTTTAACAACATATATCCAGCAACATAGAGATTTTCTAAGGTATATTATTAAAACATCATTAAAACAAATAAACAAATAATGCCCTCTAACAGTTGCAATTCACCTCCGATTAAGCCTTCCTGCTCACCTCTACCTTTTAGAACCCCTGGCTTCAAGAGTCGGCCCAAATATGACCTTCTGTAAGAGGCCTTCCTTTCTCAGTCCCCCAGCTTGTAGAGCCTTCCTTTTTAAGGTCACCATCCATCTTGTCTGTATGTATCTTGCGTGGACCTATTTCTTTTTATGTTGTCTCCTCATTAGAATGTTAGCTCCTTGAAGGCAGGGGCCGTTTTGGTCTTTCTTTGTATCCCCAGCAACTTAGTACCTTGTCTTGTTGGTACGGAGTAAGTCCTTAACAAATGTTTGTTAATTAGGTGATAGATATATCAACACTGAAAATTTCACCTGAGGGTTTCCCTTGAGCACCTCCTAGACTAGAATTTAGTGATGTGTAAGGTGCTCATTTGGGTTCCCCTCTCAGTGGGTTCTGTTACTAAAGGAGAGACACACACAGAGAGACAGAGACACAGAGAGATAGAGATAGATAGAGAGAGAATACATTTTAAGCTAAGTAGTTATCAGTGAAAGCCCCCCAAATACACCATTATGTCATTGCTTTGGTATTCCCCACAATTATCCATCTAAGACAAGGGTTCTTTTTTTTTAGGCCCTTTAAAAATTTATTTATTTATTTTTAGTTTTCAACATTCACTTCCATAAGATTTTGAGTTCTAAATTTTCTTCCTATCTCTCCCCTCCCCCCCACCCGAAGATGGTGTGCAATTTGATATAGGCTCTACATATACATTCATACTGAACCTATTTTCACATTAGTAAGACAAAGGTTCTTTACCTAGGGTCTGTGAATTAAAAAAAAAATAGACAACTATTTCAATAAAATTAGTTTCATTTGTAATCCTATGTGTTTTATTTTATGCATTTACAAAATTATTCTGAGGAGGGGCCCATGACATAAAAAATGTTAAGAACTCTTGATCCAATAGAAGAAAAAGGTAGTTCCTTTGGACAGCAGCTAACGAGGATAATGCCGAATGGTCTCCTGCAGGCCACCTCAACTGGTCTAACTATGGTTAAAGACCTGCTTCAGAAACATGAGCTAATTTCTTCAGGTCTCACCAAGGTGTTGTTTTGGTCATAGAAAATGCTGGTGCTTGCAGTGATCTACCTTTATCTAGGCCAAGGAAATTGATAGGAGCAGTAGAGGCAGGTAATAATTTTCCACTTAAGTGACCCAATAAAAGTCATTTAGGGCCTGTGGTTGCATAAGCTTTAGTTATGTCTTGTGACTAATAGGCCTGATGCACAAATAAAAATTAAATAGAAAATTTTCAACCTAAGTTAAAATGTAATCTCCTGTTGGACTATTGTTAGTCAAGAAATGGCCCCAGTGAATGTGGTCAGCAGGAATAGAATATGACTTTCATCTAACAATGATGGCAAAGGATAGAGGTTATGGCCCGCTTCAGACCACCATCACAACTGTGACAAATGACAGATGAACAGAAGACCAGGAGATGGATCATGGTAGCACACATAATTGCTACATTTAATCATCCTGGTCTGAATGAGTAAGTGTAGAGAGGGGGGAAAGTGTAACCGAAATGTGAACCTTTATCAGTGTTTCTGAACTGAGACACAAGATAATAGAATTAAGAGCTGGCAAGGGCCTTAGGAGTCATCTCAACCAAACTTCACATTGTACAAATGAGGAAACTGAGGCCCAGAAAAATGAAGTGACTTCCTCAAGTTTTCAGTTTTTGTTCCCTGAATTCAAACTCAGGACCCCTGACTCTACAGCCAGTGTTCTTGTCACTATGCCACCCTGACCCCTGTCTTTTGCTGTTGTTTGAAAGTAAACCAAAGCTAAACAACACTTATCCAAAATGTGTTCCAGAATGTATAGCGTTACCATACAAATAAAGGCAGCTGACTGGATAGAGCACTGAATCTGGAGTCAGGAAGAGCTGAGTTCTGATCTGGCCTCAGTTACGACCTTTGTGACCCTGGGCAAGTCATTTAAGTTCTATTTGCCTCAGTTTCCTCATCTGTAAAATGGGGATAATAACAACACCTGCCTCCCAGGGCTGGTGTGAGGATAAAATTAGATATCTGTAATGTGTGTTGTACCTTAATTTGCTATGTAAATTCTAGCTATCATTATTCAGACAGCTAGGTGGCACTACTGTAGATAGGGCACTAGAACAGGAGTAAAGAAGACCTGAGTTCAAATCCAAGCTCAGACACGTAATAGCTGTGTGAATCTGGGCAAGTCATTTCACTTCTGCGTGTTTCAGTTTCTTCTGTAAAGTGGGGATAATGACACCTATATCCCATGTTTGTTGTAAGCACAAAATGAGATAGTATTTGTAAAGTACTCCTCAAACCTTAAAGAGCTACATAAATTCCTAGCTATTACCATTATCATCATCATCATCATCATTATTGTGAGAAGTCATGAGAATGAGAGGCTTAAATAGGATCATGTGGAGGGAATAGGCTGAGGAAATGATAACACCATAAGGCACATGAAAGAAAATGCACATGCTAACTTAAATAGTATTAATAGTTTAGGTCTATACTCTCTATTTCAAAGAAGAACTATTAACCTCTCATGGATGAGTGTCTCCTCAAAGAAAAACATACAGGATATTGGACATTTTAGTTTGAGCCAAGAGCAACTGAACCTTGAGGGGGATGAGCAACACGTAAGAAAGAACCTGTTCTATACCCATTTGGAATTAACAAAGCTTTCCTTTAATTCCTTGGGTTCTTCAATCCTGTCCATTGTACTCTGGGCATATATGCATGATCAAAGGTTGAGGTTTTGTCAGTTCAGCAGTCACTTGGTCCAATGCCCTTTTTATCCCAGGCAAACACTAGAGCAGCCCAGAGGGCTAAGAGACACAGAGAAACATACTAATGAATGTCATTATGCCACATAAGCCATGAGCACAAAGTATCAGACTGGTTGTGTGACTGCTTATGTGACATTGGCCTTGGAGTCAGGGAAACCTGGTTAACACTTACTAGCTGTA